ACAACTGGTGATTTTTCTCTCTGCAAGTCACCTCCAGCCACCTATATTCCCTATATTTTTGGTAATTTTCCCGTAAGCTCCGACGTTTTCAGCGTGTTAGGGAAAACTCCCCGGCGTATATCTCGAAGTTATGCCGTTTAGGGAAAGTTTAAGTGTGGGAGGGAGAAACATAACCTAGTGAGCTTGTCTGATGTGACGACGCAAGAAAAGATTAAAACTCGCCGAAGATGATGCACCGTCGTTGTTTTTATTTTGTTTCCAAGAAGGAAGGAACGGAAAGGGGATGCTTTGAGTGAAGTGCTCTTGATCAGAGAAATTGCCTGACAGCATACATAAAGGGGATTACCAATAGACCCCTGGCTGTCTTCAAGAAGGCACTGAACAGGCACCTAATGTCAGTACCTGACCAGCCGGGCTGTGGTTCGTACGTCGGGTTGCGTGCGGCCAACAGTAACAGCCTGGTTGATCAGGCACTGATCCACCATGAGGCCTGGTCATAGACTGGGCTTCGGGGGCGTTGATCCCCGGAATACCCTTCAGGTAGGTAGACGCCAGTATGACAGTCAACCTTGCTGGACGAAGACTGGTGACTCGTTACCTCTGGGGAATGTGTGTGATTATATATATATATATATATATATATATATATATATATATATATATATATATATATATATATATATATATATATATATATATATATATATATGTATGCAAGGAATTCGCAAGAGCAGGCGAAATATACACAAACACTGATCTCTGGCTGAAGGAGACTTGAACCTACGAACCTTGGAACAAGGTACGCAGAGCAGGCGAAATATATTTCGCCTGCTCTTGCGAATTCCTTGCATTGTTAATATCTCTAGTAAGGCTGATGCATGCAGGGGATGAGGTGAAAAGCTGGCTGCCTTGGATCAAAGTCTAGCGCAAAGCTGGACTCTTACGTATTGTCCAGTGTGGGTAGATTGTTAAAGCACTGCGTACCTTGTTACAAGGTTCGTAGGTTCGAGTCTCCTTCAGCCAGAGATCAGTGTTTATATAATATATATATATATATATATATATATATATATATATATATATATATATATATATATATATATATATAACATTTTAGGTATTTTAATATGCTGGAAAACTGCTGAACTGTCTTGTCCTTGTCTAATCTAGTGACAAGGTTTGTGTGTGTGTGTGTGTGTGTGTGTGTGTGTGTGTGTGTGTGTGTGTGTGTGTGTGTGTGTACGGGTTAGGGGGAAGAGTAAGAGACGAACGATGGGAGAGGGAGAGGGAGGGAGGGAGAGAGAGGGAGAAGGGGGGGAGAGAGAGAGAAGAGAGGGGAAGGAGTGAGAGAGAGAAGGGGGGGGAGACGAAGGAAAGAATGAGTGGGCCAGAACTTAGAAAAAGTGTTATCATTTAAGAAGACACGACGCCAAAACTTAGGTAATTGCCATACTAAATAACTTAACCAAACTTTACTTAGGTTTTACAATATAATGCAGCGCAGCAAAATAACTTAACCATCATTAAATAATAGAACTAGATAATATCCAACCTGAGTTAGGCCAAGCTCTGCCTAAGTTTGTCAGTCTTCATTAAGACATTTTGCTGGTGACAGAAGAGCTTGTAGGAGTCTCGAACTCTCCTGATTCAGAACATCCTTACGGTAATTCCTCTCGTCTAGTCAACAAGCCTTTACACGGAGGCGCACCGTTTTGTTCCTAGTATAACCATGACAATAATCAGCTGTGATGCTGTTGTCATGCAGAAACAGCTCCGCCGTTTATTTGATCTCTCTGCAAAGCTGCAGATAATTCACGTGTGTAATAATCTTAAACTTTATGGGGCCGAAATCTCCACAGAAATTGAACTCTGTGTATGTACACTTAGCGATGTACACCTGTGTATATACACTGAGAGATGTACACCTCTCTTTGTATGTATATTGAGAGATGTACACCTCTCTCTGTGTATGTATATTGAGAGATGTACACCTCTCTGTGTATGTACATTGAGAGATGTACACCTCTCTGTGTATGTACATTGAGAGATGTACACCTCTCTCTGTGTATGTACATTGAGAGATGTACACCTCTCTGTATGTACATTGAGAGATGTACACCTCTCTGTATGTACATTGAGAGATGTACACCTGTGTATGTACATTGAGAGATGTACACCTCTCTGTGCTTGTACATTGAGAGATGTACACCTCTCTGTGCATGTACATTGAGAGATGTACACCTCTCTGTGCATGTACATTGAGAGATGTACACCTCTGTGCATGTACATTGAGAGATGTACACCTCTCTGTGTATGTACATTGAGAGATGTACACCTCTCTGTGCATGTACATTGAGAGATGTACACCTCTCTGTGTATACGTATAACATTGCACTGTGTAATTTGGTTAATTGGGATTAAAACTTTCCGACTAGACTTGTTGACCACCAGTCAAGAATACATTTACCCCTGAAATAGGGACTGATGTTAACCCTGGATACATGCACTGAGATACACAAACTTCGCGTGTATAGATCCTCTGTAACACATGCAAATAGAGCCTAAAAATCTGGAATGGCCTACCAGCAGCAACCCAAAACTGTGTAACTATATACAAATATATCGCATAACAAGAAACTCATGCAAATTTATTAATTTAATTGTATTTAAATTTGCCTTTTATTTATTTTTATTTTTCGTCTAACTCTTCCCACCCCATTAACCAAATTTACATGAAAGTGTTACGTTCACGCGTTTTATTTCTGACATATTCTGATGCTTAAAAGTTATTACCTTATAAGATTTTAAGGACTAATAATGTATGTATAATATATATATTATATTATATATAATATATATATATATATATATATATATTATATAATGTGTGTGTAAATGTCGTTCCGAATAGGTAAAACTTGCTATTTTAGCTTAAATAGCAATGCTCTTCTTGCCGAATAAGGCAAGCGAACATTTGTGTATGCAGTAATTTCGCAAAAATCATTGTGAACCAAACAAAAAATATATTTCATTGTGTTTGTTTATTATTGAATTATTATTAAATTAATGTAAGACTTTATAGTAAATGTTTAGTGTTACCTTGTAATGATGAGCATTAATATCGAGTATTGTTACAGTAACACCATCAATATTGATACAGTAACACCATCAATATTGATACAGTAACACCATCAATATTGATACAGTAACACCATCAATATTGTACAGTAACACCATCAATATTGATACAGTAACACCATCAATATTGATACAGTAACACCATCAATATTGATACAGTAACACCATCAATATTGATACAGTAACACCATCATATTGATACAGTAACACCATCAATATTGATACAGTAACACCAATCAATATTGATACAGTAACACCATCAATATTGATACAGTAACACCATCAATATTGATACAGTAACCCATCAATATTGATACAGTAACACCATCAATATTGATACAGTAACACCATCAATATTGATACAGTAACACCATCAATATTGATACAGTAACACCATCAATATTGATACAGTAACACCATCAATATTGATACAGTAACACCATCAATATTGATACAGTAACACCATCAATATTGATACAGTAACACCATCAATATTGATACAGTAACACCATCAATATGTGATACACAGTTAAACACCATCAATATTGATACAGTAACACCATCAATATTGATACAGTAACACCATCAATATTGATACAGTAACACCATCAATATTGATACAGTAACACCATCAATATTGATACAGTAACACCATCAATATTGATACAGTAAACACCATCAATATTGATACAGTAACACCATCAATATTGATACAGTAACACCATCAATATTGATACAGTAACACCATCAATATTGATACAGTAACACCATCAATATTGATACAGTAACACCATCAATATTGATACAGTAACACCATCAATATTGATACAGTAACACCATCAATATTGATACAGTAACACCATCAATATTGATACAGTAACACCATCAATATTGATACAGTAACACCATCAATATTGATACAGTAACACCATCAATATGCTGGTGAGGGGCTTATGATCTAGGGAATTGGATCTATACTTCGATTCCCTGAATTAAGCCTGAATTCCACCCCCTCCCTTTCACAGGCGGTGTATAATTCTTACGTGTTTAGCGCTCCACCATAATAATAACACCACCATTGATATTCAGAGTTACTCAGGAACGACGTTAACAGAAGCCAGAAGATTAAGACCCGTGTCAAGACTTTGTCCTGGAGAATATAAGTAGATATAGAAAGTCATCTCTCTCAAACTCATGGCAGGGAACACTTTGTTCTGTTTATTCGTGAAAAACAAAAATAATAATAATCAACAGAAGTTTGTATATATTCTGATGAGTACCTGTCTCACTGAGAGAAACAGCGCATGTACTCGTAGTGGAGTATATGTACTCTTAGATATGACTTTGACTTTAATACTCCACATTCGGCATAACATATTCTTGACTGATGGTGAACAAGTGAGGAATTCTTAATTACTCTCGTGTGTCGATCAACTTAATCCCATTTAATCAGCCTTACCAGAAATATGATTTTTTTACGATGCCTTCCCTTCTCTTTGTCATTTCTTTTTTATTCCTCGTAGACCTCTCTGTTCCATCCATAATTCTACCCTTCTCTTTCCTTCCATTCCTTCTTCTTATCCATTTCTTCTCATTCCCTCCTTGTTATGCTCTTCCACGTTATTTTTTCCTTCCCCTCCCTCTTTCTAATCCTCTCTTTACCTTCCCCTTCCTTCACTCCTCTCTTCCTCCTCTTTCCTCGGGTCTTGATAAAGCTTGAGGGAGCTATGATGCCTCGCCAGCAAGAATTCCTTCGTGTTTTCCTAAAATATCATTAACTAATTGCTGGAAGGCGGCAGCAAACGAGGTAAAAACAATTACCGTATTATTTTCAAAGATTTTTTTTCTTTTTTTTTTTTTAGTTTGTCATCCCGTAATTTTTCGAGCGAGCGCCTGAACGCCATAGCCCGAGCTGGTTATGTCAGCAGGGACCAGCTGGGAGAGTTTGCAGAGGATGCACCACTGGAGGTAAGCCATTCCCTCATCCTGTGGAAGAGACGTAAGGTGTCTGGGCCTTTATATTTGAGTTGCGTATTACTACTCTATATATGTGCGAGTTTTGAAGGGATTAATTGAACTTTTCATGAATATGATCATTTTTACGGTTTTGCTGTTGTGAATAATTGAAGTTTTGACACAAGGAAAAATCAGAAAGAAGCGCTAAACCACAAGGGTTATACAGCATCTGGTGGTAAAGAAACCTGGTTTAATAGTTTAATACAGATGTACTCTAGTGATTTGTTGGCTTAGGAGGATTTATACGCTTATTAAATACATAAAACAGACACAAGGGCTCACAGGTGTCACAGCACATAATGTAGAGAATAAAGCAACACAGGTGCCACACAACACACAATGTAGTTATTACAACACAGGTGCCACACAACACATGTAGTGAATATAGCGACACAGGTGCCACACAGCACATAATGTAGAGAACAAGGCAACACAGGTGCCACACAACACGTAGTGAATATAGCGACACAGGTGCCACACAGCACATAATGTAGAGAATAAGGCAACACAGGTGCCACACAGCACATGTGAATATGGCGACGCAGGTGCCACAAAACACATAATGTAGTGAATAAGGCAACACAGGTGCCTCACAACACATAATATAGTGAATATGGCACCAGAGGTGACACTCAGGATATAATGTGGTGGTGTGAGCGGTCGTAAACAAGTGATGGGGCGGCACTCAACGCCTCTGATTATTAATCGCAGGACGGACAAAGGCGGCAGTAAGTCATTCGCAATGTAACTTTGAATTCGCTAAAATTAACACGAACTTTAGACATTTTTACTGACAATACGGCCGGCTTGAGCCCATTATTTGGTCCATTGCTGACAGAAAATTCGTCTGTTTCTTTCCAGTGTGGATTTATAATTCCAGCCACGGTTTTGTGGATTTGCTGTGAATTGTTCCAGGTCCGGCATTGTGGGTTAGTCGTAAGTTGTTCTCGCCACGGTATTATGGATTAGTTTTGAATTGTTTCAGTTATGGTATTATGGGTTGAAAATTTTTCCAGCCCCAGTTTTGTAGATTGTGAATTGTTTCAGATACAGTATTATTCCAGCAACAGTATTGTGAATGATTTCAACCACATTATTGTAGGTTGTGAATTGTTCCGACCACAGTATTATAGGCTGTGAATTGTTCCAGCCAGAGTATTGTACGTTAATTTAAAATTATTCCAGCCACGGGATTGTGACTTTTATACTTCATGACAACAGATGATCAAATAAACAAAGCAACTGTTATGGGACCCTGAACACTAATGGCACTGTCACTATTAATATTGAACTCATATTAACTTCAGATCGACCATGAGAGAACAGTTAAATGTGGTGAGAAGTTATATTTGACTAATTATTTCTTTGTGGCCTTAACAATGAGGCAGAATTATGAACATAGTCTTGGTATTGTGTTCCTCACTGTTCAGTACAGCTGTTATGTCCTGTACTGTTCAACACAGCTGTATATTATGTCTCGTATGTTCTGTTTTGTTCAACACAGTCTCATTATTGGCACTTGTTCACAGCTCTCATATCAATGGTGTGATCTCTGAACCTGTCTGCTTACACTCTTGTGTTTGTGACACATTACGTTATCACAACAGAATTGGTTGCTTGTCATTTGAGCTTACTCTTATGCGAGTTTTGAACACAAGTGCAAGCACTGATTATAATATATATATATATATATATATATATATATATATATATATATATATATATATATATATATATATATATATATATATATATAAACTGACAGATTTTAATTAAAACTGGATAAGATTACAGAGATCTGATATATATTTATTTTTCTGCCTCAACATTTTAGTTAATTATCAGTAAAATGACTTAGTGGTTGGGAGAGCTAGCGAAGTGAACTTAGGAGCCTCACTACGTCATAACCAGACAATCTGAGAGGTCGGCCAAGTTGGACAGCCTGCAGGCAAATTTGTGCAGCTGAGAGCCACGACTTCTGGAAGACCCGCTGCCTGGCCTCCTGGAAGACCCGCTGCCTGGCCTCGTGTTAAAGAGAAACACTCAATATAGCTTTCATCTCCAGGTTAATTCTTATTGTCGATTTAAAAGCGATGTTCTCAGCACTTAAGATTAAACCTTCTTCCTGATGAAATTATCCAGGGTATCTCCCCCCATACTCTTCCTAAAGACGTTTTCATCACTGTGGAAATCATTATTTTAGTAACCAATTTAAGATTAAACATTTTCAACTACCGATCATTTGATGACATTTGGAGTGTGACATCCCATATCCATCCGATATGTCAGTTATGAGTGATAGTTACTGAAAGTAGTTACTCTGGATGGAGGAGAAGGAGGAGGAGGAGGAGGAGGAGGGTGTAAAGTAAGAATGGAGGAGGAGGCGGCGGAGGGGAAGAGGCAGGTCGCTGCTGAAGAAGGGGAGGGGCTGTAGTAGGTTACGGCGGCAGCTTTTCCTCTGCTATCCGGGGGCCACTTTGGTATTGATTCTCCCAGACTCAGAGTGATGGCGGTGGTGCGATATTCAAAGTAAGGCTGTCTGGCAAGAACGATATCCCCGTCAATTTCTGGCGTAGGGAAATTTATTAATTATCTAAATACGGAGCATCAGTTTGGCTCTAAGCTACCAGGAGATAGAGAATATTTATTTTTTTTGAAAGTGTTGTGGATGTCGAAGGGTGAGCAGGACTCATCGCGCAGCTTGCAGTATCTCGCTGCAGCAGCCAGGAGCGCCGCCCACCACAGTGTCTTGTGTGTTAGTCGAGGCCCGAACTCTCACAGGGTACGTGTGCTTGCTCCTCCCGCCTCACACTCACTCGATCTTCTCGACCCGTGGAGTCTCTTTACCAGAGTTCTGCAGGACCCGCTTTACTTCCATACTTTGAAACAAACGAAAGAAGTACACGGAGAGAAACTTCAAAATTTACAGCTATTTTGTAGAAGTATAATGTGATTATTATAAATTTAGAAAAGTAGTGAAGCAAGTTTTCGTTTTTCACCGTTCCAAATTTGACATTTGCTACCTTACCTAGAGGACTTAATTGGCCCAGTAATAAAATATGGGTTTAGGTTGCCGTAGAGTCGTGGGTGGTGTGGGGGCGGCGTTCACACTTTCTTGTGGGGGGTGTGGGGCGTCGTCCACACGGTCCTGTGGGTGGTGTGGGGCGGCGTTCACACGGTCCTGTGGATGGTGTGGGGGCGGCGTTCACACTGTCCTGTGGGTGGTGTGGGGAGGCGTTCACACGGTCCTGTGGGTAGTGTGGGGGCGGCGTTCACACGATCCTGTGGTGTGGGGGCGTCGTTCACACTGTCCTGTGGGTGGTGGGCGGCGTTCATACTTTCCTGTGGGTGGTGTGGGGGCGTCGTTCACACGGTCTTGTTGCGTCGTGGTTAACATTACCGACATCCGACCCACTCATAATGAACACTTACACAACTCGTACACAAACTACAATATATATAGAAACTTGCTTATCTCTTGGCAAAACTAATATCAGACAATGCCATTATTTTAAGTACTTTAAAATTCACGTTTAACCATTTCTTTAACATTTATCTTTCAAATTAAATTAATTTAGATTAAAGCATAACTGAGAAATATACTTAATTCTTGAAATATTCTTAATGGGAATTATATGAGTTGGATGTAATATAGAGATAAAAGTGGTAGCCTTTCCCGTAGTCAAGAAGTCCAGCAGAAGGTAATCAATGTCACGCAGCACTGTAGAACAACTCGACACACCTCGAAATAGCAACACCGATTACTGTAGGTACGAGTTAGTGTTGTGGGGGTTTTGTTAGGGGGGCGTGGCTCCCCCTGCTAACCTGGTCATCCTCACTCACATTTTCAAAGTCTTTTTGGTCCTTCAAGCATAGTTTTTGCTTCGTGTTTCACCGGTGAAGATGTGTTTCTTCCGGGATTGTTTTTCTAACGAGTTTTAAGTCAACATTTGTCTATCCAGCGGATCCTGGAAGCCCTGGGTCACCCCGCACCAACAGTTCTCACCTGGTACTTACACTCGCATGTCTGCTTTACTTTTGCAACAACGAAAATACATTTATTTTTCCACTACATACGTTTTAATGGAAAAAGTCATTTTAACGTTTTCGGATGGAAGTTTTAGTTAAAGTTAATTTGTGTTAATTTGACGGGGTCCTGCCAGAATGTCTTGTTTCTAAATTTTGTTTCCACCGACACACACACACACACACACACACACACACACACACACACACACACACACACACACACACACACACACACACACACACACACACACACACACACAAACACATGGTGGTCCTGCTGGAAACTGTAGGCAGCCGTAAACGTTTTTCTTAATAGCCTAACTGGCAATTTTAATAAATTCAGCAGTCGTTTCCTTTGAAAATTCACGCTTGTGGTTCCTTATACGATATTTTCAACGGATATTGTTAAAAGGTTGTACTAGTGTAGTTTGAGAGATTCTGAAGATTTATATAAAGTCTAACTATAAGGATGGTTTGATTAGGTCGTGTGTGTGAATATATTCCCATCAAACTCGCCACCCTATTATTGTCATGATTACCACCACCATTGTTATCACCAGCACCACCACCACGATCACCGCTACCACCACCACGACCACCACCACTACCACCACGACCACTACCACCACGACCACTACCACCACGACCACTACCACCACCACGACCACTACCACCACCACGACCACCACTACCACGACCACCACTACCACCACTACCACCACCACGACCACCACCACTACCACCACCACGACCACCACTACCACCACCATGTCCACAACAGACTACGCTACTTTTGCCATTAAGACAACTTGCACTTCCGCCACGAACATCACTCATCTTCTCGCCTTTATCATCATAGCTGCAGTCACCACTACCACAACATCCATCACTACCACCACCACCACTACCACAACATCCATCAC